TAAAAATCACTTTAACAAAGCATCCAAACTAAGTGTATTTTGTCATTCTAATAGGAAAAATGATTACGAATGTAAAGGTGTGTATTATACATAAACATTATTTTTGCAAAGTTTATCATTAAGAAAAACTATTCGACTTATGAACAAAGAAGAAATAAAAATTTGAAAGTATACACACAGCAAACTCATCTTTATGGGCCTTTAGAAAAGTGAAACAATTACACCCAGCCGGGGATGGTTGATATAAGCTAAACACAGATTAGATAGAACCTGAGCCAAACCTATATTTTGTAGAGACAAGTATGGATCGATATTTACGTAACCTAGCTAGCTATAGTAATATAGAAAGTTTTCGTGTTACAAAAGTATTGAACCAAGAAAGTCAAACTACAAAAATCTGAGTTACTTAAAATTAAAAAAAATATATATTCCTACTTTGGCTCCGACTAATATAATTACACAAATTTGACAAAGTAGATATAAAAATTGTAATGCTGATTGAAATCGTCCTCTCTCTTATTTTCTGTGTTATTTATAAAATTGTTGACTACTAAGAGTCTTTACATCACAGAGTCTTCACATCACACAACGTTAACACCATTGTTGTGTAAATAAACATTCTGTTCACTTTTAAACACCCGGAGTATAAATAGCCCCCCCACCCACCCACCCGCTATAAACCGGGTCTCGATACCCGTGGTGGGCAGAGCACAGATACCCAATTGTGCAGCTTTGTGCTTAACTACAAACAAACGAACATATAAATAGTGATTTTTTTTTTTTTATAATACTCGTTTCTTTTTTTATCAGCTATACATTTTCCACCAGCAATACCAAGCATAGGGCGCGCGTATACCCGATTTGATTCTATTACTCATCTGGACCCCCTACCAACCTACCCTCAAATGTAATTATATACCCACAGTAGCGCATCATCCACTTTATATATACTAGTATATTTTTCGGTACAAAAAAGGAATCATTGGGACCCCAGACGGAAGAGTTCTGTGAAAGAATTACAGCGATAAGGTTCGTCATTATTTTTCTGTACGCTTGTCTGAAAAAGTCACTCACTTAGATGAAAATTCATTGATATAGTGAATATTTGATTCACTCCATTAACACGTATATAACGATTTAGGTGGCTTTATAAGTACAATAAGCTTTAGTTTTACTCAGCCAATACAATGAAATAGTCGTTGTTAATATTCAGACATTTTAAAAGTCGTTTTAAACAGGCGGTTTTTATGGTCGCCATTTTGTTTCATCACGATCCCTACTATTAACTACTGCCTTACTTAATGATAAAAGCATACTTACAGTACGAGATGAGCAGCATAACACTGTGCTACGTTATGATTATTTACAACTTTAACTAGAAGGGTAGAGAAAGGAACATTTAATGCTTATGAAACAATAATTACCAGCACTAATGAGTGCTACAGCTTGAAACCGGGTATTTGTTACTTTTATTACCGTATTTCAACCCCATCGCTCACTTTAACCTATCATTATTCAAATCAATTATTAAGCAAAAAGAAAATTACAGACTGAATGGTGCAAAAAAAGGGAGGGGTTGATTTGATCTGTACAACAATGGAGTACATAGCACTTATTGAATCAATGCAGACTAAGAAAGATCCATTATTGAACAATTCGTGCTTTGATGAGCTTTTTAGGGCTAAAACGAGTTGCTAAAAAAGTTTCTCGACTTGGTTCCAATTAGTAACGAGGTCTTCTCGCCCCTATACGAATATGAACAGTGTAACACGGCACGTTCAAACCACAAACGCGTTTTATTGATGTTATACACATTCAAACAGGCTAAAGGGTAATAGTTAGTTATAATTTTGTTAACGACATTAAAAAAAAGAAACATGATGAAGAATCCCGGTTCACTAACGAACCCCTAGATGAAAACCAAATATGTACTGATCTATAGTTTTCAATAATAAAGACTGTGTTCAAAACTTCACTAAGCAATCACATTTTCTCCACACTTGTAAAAATTCATCAACAGATTGACAAGTAGCGATAGGGTCTAGCTTGGCACCTATTCTAATAAAATATATTTCACGAGAAACAATGGTTAAAGAAGTGGCCAACTGAATTCAAACCCCTTTGTTATAGAAGTTATGTTGATGACATTCTTAATATGTTTCAAACATATAAACAAGCAGAAAAACTTTGACATATTTATGTAAACAAGTACAATAAAAAAAATAGATTTATTAAAAACAAGTAGGAGTCGATCTATATATATATAGCCAGCTATAGGGATAACTTGTAGTTTTGACTTTCTTGTTTCAATACTTTTCGTAGCATTAAAACTTGTTATTTTGTGGATATATCGATCCCGACTTGTCTTTATAAAACATTTTTTTATTATGTTTGTTTGTTTCCTGTTTATTAGTTATATTTTTGTGAACCAGCAATACTAAGCGTGGGGCACGCCTGTACCAAGCTACTCTCAAATTTAATTATATGCCCAAAGTAGCGCATCGTCCGTTTTATATATACTAGTATCTTTTTCGGTACAAGACAGGAATCATTGAGACCCCAGAGGAAGAGTACTGTGAAAGAATTAGAGCGATAAGATTCGTTATTTTTTCTGTAAGCTTGTCTGGAAAAGTAACTTACTTAGATAAAAATTCGTTGAAATAGTGAAAATTTGATTCACGACTTTATAAGCACAATAAGATTTAGATTTGCTCATCCAATACTGTGAAATAGTCATTGTTAATATTCAAACATTTTTTATGGCAGCCATTTTGTTTCATCACGATCCCTACTATTAAGTACTACTGTACTTAAATATAACACAATAACATCAAATTTACTGTTGAATATGAGGAAAATAGTACTTAATTTTTTATATCTGTCTCTCGAATAAAGATGTTTTCACTATATCGCCTTTACAGGATTAAAAACTCATTTTGATAGCTTTGCACTTTTGATTTACAAAGAAATCCCGATTAAAATCTTAATTAATTGTGCTCATGAGTAATAATGAGCTTTTTCGCACGGAGTTGAATAATATTAAAAAATGCTTTTGCAAAAAGGATTTCGGTATAAATGTATGAAAGGTTATCACCACCTTATAAATAACTAATAACTGTTCTACTGTGACCTTTGATATGCCAAATAAGAAAGTGACACTGTTCATACAGTTTATGGGTATACAGTCGTATAACAACAAAAGAAAATACTTCATATAAATTACCTACAGGTGTAACTTAATTGTATTGTTGAAACACAAAACAGACTAAGGGCTATGTTCCCCTTAAGGATAAAATTGTATTCATGCAGTCCTCCGTAGCATGTCTATACGCGTGCCCAAATTACAAACTTGAGTACATTGGTTCTACCGCCAGGAGGCATCAGCAGAACTACAAAGAACATCGGAGCACTGACAAACACAGGTTGGAGTGTAGTGATATTCAGCAATTCAAAATTACTTTACAAGCAAACAATGAAAGTGACTTATACACATTGAAAACCATCGCCATTCAACTTAAAAACTAGAAAACAGTCTCTATCTCTGAACCTAAAAAGTTTTATTAGCTCATAGACTTCAACATATAACTCAGTGTTACCAAACAACAAAGTTGGAACGCCATGTGAATAATTGTTTTGGGATGATCATAATGTATGATCTTAAAAATAACTTGTTCCGGCCACGATTGAACTGAAACAGGCCAGAAACAGTGTTGGTAGTGGCGAGGCATACACGAGCTTTCCGAATCGGTAGCAGTATTTATCATTCATGCACATACATATATATATATATATATATATAGGCCTTTCTATTAGGTTTACCGTTGCTGTTCTAACTAGTCTTTCCTTATATAAATGTATCCAAATTTAAGACCCGATTTGTTTTATCAGTATACCGATTTGTAAACCCTTGACTTAAACAATGTAGTAAGTGGGCCTATAAATGAATACAATTAAGGGCCAGTTTCTGAGAATGTGACATAGTAAGAATAACAACTCGCTTCAAACCAGCATTACAAATTGAAAGTTATTATGTATACTGCCCACAAAATTAAATCGTTATTTGAAACTAATACTGCAATTAGTAACAAAATAAAAAATTAACTAATGTAATACGAGGAAAGAAAAATGACGTTAATTAAAAAAAATAATGTATTGTATTAACGTTTTACATAAAAAATTACTCATTCTCACGGTCTAAATAAAACAGAATCAATAAAACAATAATGTCAAGAAAAGTCATGGTGATTTTAAGTTATCTATCAAGAACGCAGTATAAAGTTGTAACAGTAGGTGTATATTATTATTGGTATTATGAATGCTCGAAGTTAAAATGCCGAACAACTGCGATATCCGTCAATCAAGTTGAACTAAAAATGGCAAACTAAGAGTCGAGTTAATTGGGCAAGGATGGATCCAGGATTTTGGGTAAGGGTGGAGGGGTCTTCCACCCAAACAAAAAATATTTTTAAACTCAACTCCCCTCGATCCGCCAGTATTGGGTGTTTTTTTTCTTCTTAAATGAATGAGCTTTATACAATAGTAATCAAAAGCATGACTGAATCTGTGATCAATATGAATATAATTGAAATTTATATTATTTTTGAATTACCATGGTAATAAGATAACGAACATATATTACTATTCTAAGTTTAAAAAAGCAAGTGGCCACGATATTATTATTAAAGCTTATAGAAAGTTGATATAGAAAAGTGACAAACTGTTAATACAGAAAAGCTGAACAAAATTATTCATGTCAGTGCACGTAACAAAATTACGTTTACGAATATGGCAACTTTTTATTTTTATTGTAAGGAGTAAAATACAGTGTGTTAAAATTACATAGAATCATTAACTTAAGTCATTCAAAGTTCAAGTTCAAATGAAGATTCGAAAATACAATTTTTAAATGCCATTGTATTCAAAAACGATACAGCTCGCTTGCAAATATGGCTATTAAGAGCCTTATTTTACATTAACAACAACAAAAAAAAAACACTTACCACTGAGCCTCAAAATGTAAATAAATTCCTTTCTCCATTTAACGGCCACCAGGCATAATGTCCTCAATTCTAGTCGGTGTTACTAAGTGTTAGCTGTTCCGCTGACACCAGCTGAAACAAGTCGTACACTTTGAACTATTATTACACGTGAGAGAGGGTAACTGTTCTTTCAACTCTTGCGATGATTCATTCTGGCAAGCCCACGTGCCATGCGAATAAACAGACTAGTTGTAATTTGAATTATAAAGAACACAGCGATTATACTTAAAGGCTACACATCGAAGAAGCTGCATTGATGTGCACAGGGTTTTGGTGATTCAAACTTAAGTATAGAACTGATTACCTTTTTATTATGATTTTTAAGAGATCAAGTTTTTAGGCTTTACGTACATCTGTGTCTTTTCTAGTTTCTTTATTGAATCAAAGTTTTCAAAGTATCAAATGTACGCAATAACGTGAACACTAACAACACTGTAACGTCTAGACTTACTCAACGATCTCAACGACTGCTTACAGCAACGCGTAGACGTCTAGTACCATACACGCAGCAGCATGCTGGAACAGTCTATTGTTACAGGGGGAGAAACTTAAGATATAAAACTCATTTCTGTGTAAGGGACAAGGTGTGACAGCATAACAAACTTATCACTAAAATTGTTGTTACTACCAGTGCATACATTATTTCGTTATGAGTCTGAGGAAATGATATCACACTCCGCTTGAGATGTCAAGGGAAGGTGAATTTAATTTTCATAAATATTTATAATATTTTGAAAGTTAATTGATCTTTCCATAATGCCACCTTGTGGCTCAGCGATAAACCACCAGCCTTATAGCACTTAAATTTGGAGTTCAGTCCCTGTGGTGGACACAGTACAAGTAATCCATTGTGCAGCTTTGCTCTTAATAAGAAACAATACATTTTTCGAAAATACGTTATTACAAATTATACTGTTTTTAGACAAACACACAAAAAGAAAGAAAATACGCAGATAACTCATTGCGTTGCTTTGTGTTTAAAAAGCAAAGATAAGCCAAAAATTTGCAATATTGGTGAAAAATGAAAAGGTCTATCTATGTATAAAGAACAACTGTTTAAATTTAAAAAGAAAACTTAGTTCATCACAGTAAAATGAAACCTTAACGAGGTTTATACCTGTAATCAACCTACAAACCATAACGAGGTTTATACCTGTAATCAACCTACAAACCATAACGAGGTTTATACCTGCAATCAACCTACAAAACGTAACGAGGTTTATACCTGTAATCAACCTACAATTCTTGTAACGTTTTAGAATAACGTTTTTTGAGCATTTTTAGTCCAATTTTCTGTAATCTGTATATAAATAAAAGCCGATTTCAAAACTAAATGGAAGTTTAGCGTTTACACAGAGTTTAAGGTCCGGTAGGGCTTGATGTTTCACTTGCAATATGTGTGTCACAGGATCGATAGCTGGCGTTGAACATGCTCTTTCTTTCAGCCGCGGGGGCATTATAATGTGACGGTCAATCCCACTATTTGTTAGTCAAAAGTAGCCCAGTAGTTTCGGTGGGTGCAACCGGCCGGTAGCCTCCTCTATGGTCGGTAGTACAAAACTAGGAATGGCGGACAGACAGCTTTAGTAGACTTGCTATAGATAAACAAACATGGGGTTTAAATAATATTTTGATCAAAGTAAGAGTTTTTTTCTTCCCGATTTGTAAAAAAAAATCCTTACGTGATAGAAAAAAATGAATATTATTTTCGAAATTTGCGTAACTGAATTGTGGAAAATCCATTATTAAAACAAAAACAACTTTTATGAAGTTTAAATTCGCAGGCCTGTGTTGTCAAAAGTTTCAAAAAGAAAAGTTTAGTAAATCATCTTTTTTTTTTCCTCCATGTATTTAATATGTTAAGAAGAATCAGGGTTTTGTAAATTGCTTAAACCATCCTGTTTGTTTGTTTGAAGTTAAACACAAAACTACACAACGGGCTATCTGTGCTCTGCCCACCACGGGTATCGTTGTAAGTCCGCAGACATACCGATGTGCCACTGGGGGGGCAAACCATTCTTTTATGAAATGTTCTTGTGTACCATTGCAAAGCAGGCAAATGTTTGTTTTACTCGATGTCGGTATTAAAGATTTCGACATCTACAAACAAACGTCATCATACTACCTATACCACTTTACTCAGGTATGATCATTGAATGTGTAAATCCAAATGTGCACCGTCCCTTTTTTATATTCCCGTGGGGACTGCTCTGTGATTCGGAACAGTTTAATTTCAAACTGTTCGCATACAATTCATCTCTGAAAAAAAAAAAATGAGGGAAGGGGAAAGTACTGACTATTGGGGCACATTATTTCCTATGCTAAGAGTGACCACTGAATTAAAAGCTGTAACAACGATGTTCCCTGATAATTATACACTAGGCTGTATTCCCCATTTAAAATGGCATTTCACTACCAAGTCAAAAGTTGGAGGGGACATATACCCTCTCGGTTCCGCCGCCTATGCTACTATTGTACATGAATTATGAGAATTAAAAGACTCGAGGTATGTATAAAAAGGCAGATTCATCATTGATACTCTTAACTCCCATCTTACTGGCAAACATCCCATCAGTTAAAGGGGAAAAGAAAATATTCTTCTAAACAACTAGAGATAGCTAGTGAAAACCATGCTGGATACTTCGATACCTATAATTCCGTTATTATATCAAAAGAAAACGTTTATTGAACCCCATTTACACTTTCATTCTTTTTTCTTGGCCTCTTTCCTCCAGTTTTTGGCCAAACAGGAAGTTGTCTTCCGTATAGAGACCTTCCTTCACTTATTCAACCAAAGTTCCATTTATTCACGGTGAACACATTGCCAGAAGCGTGATAAAAACAAAAATACATGGAGTGGAAGAAAGCCCAAGGTATAAGCACTAAATTGAATTCAGTCTGAAATTAGATGTTTGTCTCAGAAGTTTGGCAATATTAGTTGTTTCTGGGGAATCCTAACTTTGCATAGCTATTTTTTCAAACGCTCCTTATATAAAGAAGCTAGAATTTAATACTATTCACCCAATTGTTCGATTTACTAGAAGTCTAGTTGTGCTGCCATCTCGTGAGAAAAAGTGAACACGTTGATAATAAATATGTTTTTTCGTGTGTGTGTGTGTGAAAGTACTGTTAATAAATAATGCATCTATATGCCAGTGTACTGTTTCACTGATGATTTCTTCAACCTAAATGCTCATATATCAAATATTTGTTATCCAAATGAAAGGAATGAAAACGTTAAACAACACTAGCAATTACTCGGACCTCTTAAAAAAAACAACAACAAACAAACGTATTTAAACTAAGTTCTTCTTTGCATCTCTAGTTGCTTTACCGCTGAATTGAAGAAACAGTACAGAAAACTTGAGGACCACTAAGGCACCACAAGTTTTCTGTTACGTTTACTAAAGCTCCTCGAGAGTTACTACGTAACTATGTCTTCTACAACACAACGAATTATTTTACCCGAAGAGCGTATGACTCAAGTACTAATAACCTTTGTGTTGCCAAGCGACAAAGCAAGCTAAAGTACAACAGGAATGATCAAATCACCACGAATAAGTACCATGTTTCAACATTGACCAAAGTATCATCAACTGTACCTATGCCCATGACCTTGAGACTAAAACACACGTTACAGTGTTGCCTGTCAGAAACATCATGATCGTATTTCAAGTTAGGTCAGTTTTCGTACTAGAATCCGTAAGTTACTCGACGTCACGAATCATATAATAGTCACATCTAATACGAATCGTGTTTTCATAGACTTTTAACTGATATTTGTACGTCAACATGGAATATGTAAGAAGGTCCCCGTACGAACTTAATGTTAAATCCATCAGCACGTGCTTTTAGTTATGTCCTCTTAGTGTCACTACACATAAGATCAGTAGAGCTTGCTTTAACATTCTTGTTTCTTTCCTTTTTCACGAAATTAAATTATACTTTTCCTCTTAAAACAGCATAATACTCATCCCTTCATGAGCAATGGAAATGGATCTCGTGAGCTAAAAGATGAAACTGAAATTTCAAGTCTAGACATGCTATAGAGGAAGTTGTGTGTGATCTAGACTCTGGAGAATGAGGGGGAGAGTTTAGGGGTCGAATTAGTTGAATAGAATGGGCGAGATTTTTATGAAAGGAGTTGTTAAAGGTGTTGAGGTTTAGATTCCATGTAAGCTAGGGTTGGAAGTTAGAATGACTGGAACAGTTCTTGTGAAATATTCGGACAAACAATAACTTTCATGTGTATGGAGCTGTTGTCGAGGAAGTTTGAACTGTTGCGTTAGGCACTCAGTGTGATCGTGGGAAGAGCATTAAGGATCAGAACTACAGATAATGTGAAATAACTAGTCAATAAACATAATAGGCACTCAGTGTGATCGTGGAAAGAGCATTAAGGATCAGAACTACAGATAATGTGAAATAACTAGTCAATAAACATAATAGGCACTCAGTGTGATCGTGGAAAGAGCATTAAGGATCAGAACTACAGATAATGTGAAATAACTAG